CCAAGTATGGTGACCCATACTTGGAATTAGTGCTCTGCATTTAACCCATCCAAAGTGCACACACACAGCAGTGAACACACACACACACCGTGAACACACACCCGGAGCAGTGGGCAGCCATTTATGCTGCGGCGCCCGGGGAGCAGTTGGGGGTTCGGTGCCTTGCTCAAGAGCACCTCAGTCGTGGTATTGAAGGTGAGAGAGAGTGCTGTACATTCACTCCCCCCACCTACAATCCCTGCCGGTACGAGACTCGAACCCACAACCTTTGGGTTACGAGTCCGACTCTCTAACCATCAGGCCACGACTTCCCCAGTGAAAAGGGGGAAAGCCCTTACTCATTATTGTTTATTGTACTCTCGGGTTGGATGGCCGGCGGTGTCATCCCGTAGACTTAAGCATTGGTACTTATTTATATATAAAATCATTTTAGGTTTACTTCCTTCGTATTTACAGCAGAATATCTTTCAAAAAGGTGTAAAGAATTATGGGCTTCGCTCACATTATCTTTTAAGCATCCCTAATATGGGTCAACGAGCATTTAGTTATGCTGCTCCATTTGATTGGAATCAATTACAAGATAAGTTATGCTTAAAATAGTTGGTATCACTAAATGATTTTAAATGTATTTTAAAGGATCTATTTGTAAAGTCACCTGACTGTAAATGTTTTGAATGATTTGTGTATGTTTCTGTGTATGTAAACGAATGTATTTTGTTTTTTGTATTTTGTATCTTGGCCAGGACCCTCTTGTAAATGAGATTTTAAATCTCAAGTGTTTTTAATTTCCTGGTTAAATAAAGGTAAAAAAAATAAAAATTAAAAACAATAAAAATAAATTGTAATACTACTTTCCAATATTACTGTTTTAACTTTTATTTGTTATTATACATTATTATTATAATTCTATTAATGCTTCTTTTTATTTTTGGTTAAATAATGCATTTATTTTTATTTTTTTGTAAAGACTAAAAATACAGTGAAGCGACTTCTGGGAAACTTCAGAGAGTGCTTCTGTGTCAAATCGCACACTTGATGCGGACTTGCAGTCTCATGTGCCTTCTCTCACGTGTGTCCATGAGGTCCACAAGCCTGTAGGGTATCCCATTTATCATTTTAGGATTCAGAAGGGTGCTCATGAGGGTGTGCTCGAGGGTGCTTTGCAGCCTCTATGTGCCCTCAATCCCGAGCCAAACGTGCACTCATATGAACTACAATCCAACAGTGATGAAGAGGATTCTAGAAGAGAGTGGTTGATTACTGTTCCACTTTGCTTGGTTTTAAGGCTGTATACGAAAAAAAAATTTAAGTGCCACAGAAAACATATTTTCGTGTTACACTGAAAAAATAGTTAATTACTGAAAAAGCTACACTACTTTGAGAACAGCTGAGCTGCTGTCACACTAATGAAAAATATTAAGACATGTTCAGTTAGAAGCATCACTACTTTTAGTTAGTCCAATACTTCAGTGCAGTTTGACCAAATAAAACAACTGCAAAACATACAGTGTCAGTGGAAACTGTAAATAATGTAAAAAAAAACAACCTTTAAAGGTTATTTATAAATCTTGAGTTGTGTGCAAGAGTACATACCTAAAGGTTTACCCTTGCGGTGTTTGTCTCTTGCTGTTTATTTTTCCTCTTTTTGTTAGTCTTTAACAGCAGTCTCTAACCAAGCAACAAAAATGTTTGTTTGCTCAGACAAAACACAGACTGTTACAGCATACCAAAACAGGTTAGTCATATTTTATCTGGGGATGTTATGCTGTTTATTCACACAGCATTTTATGTATTCTTTCTTTATAAAAGCTTTTATGTCTGAAGCAACAGGAGAAACTGGTAAAAATTTAGGATCTGTATTAGTTATGGAAAAAACAAATAAAATCATTAAAGGAAACACAAATGGATGCGTCCATACCGCTGTCACTGTTGTCATCCACCAGTATGATTTCTTTGAGCAGGTGTGCCGGGGTGTGGTTGACCACGCTGTGTACAGACCGCAGGATGACAGAGAGAGCTTCGTTCACAAAGATGAAGACGACAGAGATCTGGGGAAGGTCATCAGAGTAGGTCAACTGCTTACACCTGGAGAGAAAGCACACAGTTTTGCAGCTTTATAGTCAGAACATTTAATAATTTTACATTATAGGAAAATCACAAATCATTTTTTTTTGTATATTATGCAAGTTTTATTGTGTATGATTCAACTTTTTAATTTGTTTCATTATTATTTATAAATAATATTATGATTTAATTGTTTAAATTAAAATAAAGTCTCAACTTAAGTATTTTCTAATAAATATTGTTTCACTTAACTTCAGCATTTTTTTAAAAACTTGGTTAAAAAATAAAGTTTTATTCTAGCGTAATGCTTTTTTTAACAACACTTGAATATGGTCAAGTTTAATAAAAAGTAACCTGACGAAAAGCATCTTTTATCAAAGTCGTGGGGGGAGGGGGAAGTCGTGGCCCAATGGTTAGAGAGTCGGACTCGTAACCCTAAGGTTGCGGGTTTGTCACGTCACACTTAGATGGAGTAGATCACTTCCATCAACACCTTGCACAGTCCTATACCACTTCCTAGGTCGACATTCCATTCAGAAACATTAGGCAGTTTTGATTTATATGCTGTTTAATGTTTGATGACCATGTTTACATATGCATCTGCTTACATATGCGATCACTTGTTTCTGTTTCTTCATCATGTTTTCATTCAGAAGATGTGTAATAGTGCCTACTACCATATAACAGTGAAAACATGGAAAGCCAGAAAAGTACTGCAAATGCCAATTCTTGTTGGCTTTAAAAGAAAATAAAAAATGTCACACATAAAATCTGCATCTTTCTCCACTGTGAGCAGGACTTGAATATGTTTACTAATTTGTAATTACAGCTCCAGTTGTAACTATTAGAATGGCATGATATGGCCCGTTCACACCAACAATAAAGATAACAGAGACATTCTGTTTATTAAAAGCACATGATGCACAAATTCTAGAGCTCTATAAAGCAGGATGGATTCTGATCAGCTGTCAATGCTTTTATCGTTTATCAGGAAAAACAAATTGAAAGTGATTTCAACAATATTGTTTCTTGGTGTCATCATTACAGTTGTGTTGTGGACACTGCTATTTTTTTTTTTTTTTTTAAATTTAGAATGATTTTTAAAACTATATCGTGTCATTGTTATAGTCCTTGTGAATGTCTATGTGAATGGGCCTTTGTAGTCTTACTGACAAACTGTAGTCATATTTTGTTGAAGTACCAACCTGGATTACTCTCAACGGCGTGTGTTGCACGAATATCTATTTAGAGCTGGAATATAGAAGATTATGCTCTGGATAAGATGAAAATGCTGGTGCAAAGCTATATTAGAAACATAAAGCACTTCATTACATTTAGGCGCCCTAGAGGAGTTATCATATTAGTACAAGGTACAGAGACGCTGAAGAACTAAAATACAACCTGACATCTCAAATTTAAAGATTAGTTGTCTTGCCACTAATAAATATGTGCATATTTACTGTGTTGCTAACACTTTCTGCATTCTAGTTATTGACAAACCCTGACAAGCCACTAAAAAGCCTAAATTCAGTCCCACATTTAATATTTTCTTGTGGGAAAAATTGAGGCACGCCGACATAGCCTTTATTGCACACTGTAAATGCTGACTGGTTACTATGGCAACCATAAGTTCTTGATCAACATCTCACTGTGAAATCCCTCCCTCCAGCCATCCTGAGCTCTGGGAAAACAGCATGAGGCTCCTGCCTGTATGGACTTACTTTCAGCTCTTTAAATATGGCTATGGATTACAGGGCTCAGAAATAGGTTATATTTCATAAAATATGATTACAGAGACTAGCTTTGGCATTTAGCTGATTCAAATTCTCTGGGCAATCACATTATTGAGGAACAGCAAAGTTGTTTGCTCACAAAAAGGTATACTGAACAAATAAGTAATCAAATTATATACAACCAAGACAATAAAAGTATATATGTGCATCGATATTGCATTAAAACTCATTTTTAGCTGGAGGATTAATTTGTTACAGTATATCCAATTGTGATAGAATTGTTACAATATGTAACTATTTTTATCCTAAATATAAGGTACTAACTTCTTGTTTGTTGAACTGTTCTATAAAAGCAATACCACATTTTTAAAGCTGCTGATATTTGGGGAAAACAGCAATCTTGCTTGTGTTATAATGCTTAACTATATATGTTGTAAATATAAAAATCAGAAACCTATAATTGGGGCATTTTTTTACTTGAATTTTGAGGACATTTTGGTCATTTTATTACATTTACATTACATTTACATTACATTTGCATTTAGTCATTTAGCAGACGTTTTATCCAAAGCGACTTACAAATGAGGACAATGGAAGCAATCAAAATCAACAAAAGAGCAATGATATACAAGTGCTATAACAAGTCTCAGTTAGCTTAACACAGTACACGTAGCAAGGGTTTTTTAAATGATATAATATATAAAAACAAAAACAGATAGAATAGAAAAAGAACAGAGCAAGCTAGTGTTAGAGGTCTTTTTGCTTTTGTTAATTGTATAATAAATGAAAAGAAAACAGATAGAATACAAAAATATTAGAAAGCTATTCAAATAAAGCTGCAAATGGATCCAAACGCCTCTGACTACTCGTTACAGCAATAGTCCAGCCTGGACAGAACAAGAGCTTGAACAAGGAGTTGTGAAGCATGTTCCGAAAGAAAGGGCCTTATTAGCATTTGTGTTCCAAGTTTCCATTGATTTCAAACACAGCATAGTGTATTTCAATCAAGATCCAAAAATGAAATAACAGACTAATCCTATTTTGAGTACAAAAGCAATGATTTATGAAAGCAAAAATGAAAAACTTTAGTAGGAGCAAATTTCAGTTAAATTCCTTAAGGTTTACTGATTTTAAATGTATAAATTTCTTCATATAAAGAATGTGCTATGCTTATAAATATATATATATAGAGAGAGAGAGAGAGAGATCGCAGATTGCGCTGCACACACACATAAACTTGTTGTCAACGCTTCCCCACGATTTTTATTAATAAAATAGCCTAGATACTAGATCGCTACATTATATTCCTCAGCAACGATGGTAAAATGGCTGTTTCTGAAGTAATTATTTGTAGAGAGAGACGCGCAGACGCAGCACGCAGGTACACACAAGTCATCTCTCTCTCTCTCTCTCTCGATCGATAATTAATTTAAATACATGCTATAATTCATTCAAATAAATGTGATCTTACCGCACTATTTCATCTCTGTGTCTGATTTGAAGCGGGCAGAATGCTAGTGCAGAGAGCTAATGTGCCATAAATGACAAAAATAACTGTCATTTTTACCCATTCGGTCAAATATTGCCCTGCAAAGAGCAATACTAGTTTTAACTTGTCTATAACTTGGCAAATGACAATGGAATAACCGGGATAATCACCGTCGGGCGGATCTTTGCCTCCACGTCGTGCATTTAAAATCCTATGCACGGCTAGCCGTTGATTATCCCTTACATATGTATATATATATATATATATATACAGTGGGTACGGAAAGTATTCAGACCCCCTTAAATTGTTCACTCTTGGACTTTTTTTTCATTCATAGTGCAAAACAACAAATACAGATCACAGGTGACTAATGGTCCACTAAAATAATGAGTGTGCCAGTTTATGCACAGGCATTTCCTTCATTATAACCTCCAGAAATTAGTTTTGAGGACAGCAGGTAATTGTGCATAGTCTAACACAATTATACTATCAAGCTAACTCAAATACTATTTGTTTATGCTGAATGCTGAAAATGCTAAAGCCTTTTTTTGGAATAACAAGCATAAAATCCCTATCTGACAGATATCACTGAAATACTAGTTGTCCTGAGAAATCACACAAGTTTCTGTTTTAGCTCAAGGCTCTGTAAACAGCAAAAAAAGGGATCTGACCATGGTGTGTTATAGCCCATCAGAAAACCTGGAGTCGTGCTTCTGCCTGTCAGTCATACTACGCATTGGGGTTTGCTGCATTGTCTTTGAAGGATAGAGATTTGGAGAGGAGGTATGCGGTTGAAGGGATTGGAGGCTGTCTAATTCAATGGCATAGTCTAAAATAGAGACATTAGCAAGATGCCTATTATAGGCTAACATTGCTTACAGCAGCTTTAAACTGTCCTCTGTTGAGTAACATCTAAGGACCTTAATGAGCAGAATGAGTCCTGTGTAAATCAATGTAAACATTCTTACATAAAATGCTCAATTCAATGCAACAGTTTATGCAAGTATGGATTTATAGGTTTACATCATGAATAAGGTCCAACGAGGCCTTCAAAATGTTTAAATTATATAAAAAATATACAGACAAGCAAGCATAAAACCCTATATTTATTAAGCTATGTCATACTAAGAATTTCTCAAGCCCATTCAACAGAAAAATCAGACTTTTTTCCCCCTCACGGACAAAAGCCCCCCTGCTACCAGTCAATAAGATTGAATGGCTCTGCTCCCCTCGGTGAAAATCCCCTCACCCAATCTGGAGCAACAGCTTTCCCTGTGTGAATACACACACTTGCACCCACACACTCACACGTGTGAAAGAGCCACATAGACTTTGTGAGTCAGTAATGGTGATGTCCAATGTTTTAACTGCAGGTGGAGAACAGTTGGCCTGAAATTACACAACACTACCAAAACACAATTCACATTAGGTGTTCAAAAAAAACTTTCTGAAATATCAGCTTGATCTATAAACTACATGCAAACTACGAGTGCACTATGTAAATAATTATAAGTCAGGGTTATTATGGCTAACTACAACTACACAAAACGTCAAAAAAAACTTAATTTCAGCTAGTTGCCAAGAAAACATTTTTCATTTTCATTTAGTTTAATTTGATGTACTAAAATAACTACAACTAAAACTAAAATAAAAATTAATAAAAATCTATATAAACATAAAAAAATCCCCCCCCCAAATAAAAACAACAAAAACATAGAACAAAATATCTAAAACTTACATTAAAACTTAAATTTTAAAAAGCTAAAAATGAATTCAAACTATAAAAGTATCGCAATTAT